GAGAGAGAGAGAGAGAGAGAGAGAGAGAGAGAGAGAGAGAGAGAGAGAGAGAGAGAGAGAGAGAGAGAGAGAGAGAGAGAGAGAGAGAGAGAGAGAGAGAGAGAGAGAGAGAGAGAGAGAGAGAGAAAGAAAAAACCGTCTGGGGCAAACACGCTCAGCCACATCCATGCTTATTCTTTTTCTCTTGTGACACTTGACGACATAGGTGCAAAAAGTGGCTCGCTCTGGGGCTGCCGAATTTGCTTGGCGCCATGAGGCTGAATTCGTCATTCTAGTGACGTCCGACGGCACTTTGCCTCCTGCTGCCACGCATCTTTTGGTACGTCCGCGTTATACAGCGCACATTCACTCGGCTGGGTCGAACTTGTCGTCTTGCTTCAGCCTCGGGCGGCCTGCTACTCTTGACAATCATCAATGCGTGACTAGGATGCGCTGATGAAATTCCACGGAGGCAAGGCGCTGCAATGTCCTATCAAACTACTCAAGGGTGGTTTTGAGGAGTTTCACAGCCTGTACGAGGCCTTTTGTACGGGCCCACCCTCCAAGCGCAAAGCAGACGTCGAGACCGTCGATCCCTTTGTCAATGGTGATGTTCCCACTATTGCAAGTATTGAGGCTGAGCGCGCCCAGCTTGAGCGTCAACGTCGCGCAGCTGCCGAGCAGATTGAGCGCGAGCGTCAGGCTCGCGAGGCTGCTCTGGCCAGGGAACGCCAGCGTAAACTTGAGGTACGGCCCACCCCTGCTCGATGGTTCTCTCATAAGCCCTTGCCACGTAATTTTCGCTGTGCAAGGAAGAGATGCATCGTGTGTATGTGTATGTGTATGTGTGTGTGTGTGTGTGTGTGTTTCAACTACCCCTTTCCCACCTCAATCTTGTCTGCGTATAACATCCTAGCTGGAGCGTGAGCGTGAGGCTGAGGCAAAAGAGCGCGCCAAGGAGGAAGAAGCACGACGGCAAGCAGAAGTTGAGGCCCAACGACGCCAAGAGGCTGAGGATTTGGCCCGGCGTAAAGCCGTTGCCGAGGCCGAAGCTGCCTTGTTGGCCAAGCGTCAAGAAGTTGAGGAGGCCCGTGCGCGACGGGCTGAAGCCGTCCAGCAGCAACGGCAACGGGAGCTTGAAGAGCTCGAGCGACGTAAACGTGAAGAATTGGAAGCCGACTTGCATGCGGCACGTCAACGCGAAGCCGAGCAAGCTGCAGCTCGAGCACGTGAGCAACAGGCCCTTCAGCTCGAGCGCCAACGCCGAGCCAAGATTGAAGCTGATTTTCAAGCAGCCGCGTCCTCTATTCAGCGTCTTGAGCAAGAGTTGGCTCGCTCTGATCAAGACGCCCAAGTCAAATTGTCGGCCCTGGAGCGGCAGCATCATGACAAAATTGGGCAACTACAAAGGGCCCAAAAGCTCGCTGCCGAGGCACGGCGTGCTCCAAAGCCGGGTGCATCGACGTCTCCAGCTCGGCCGCCCAGTCAAGGCAGGGCCGACTTGAGCGCCGCATCGCCATCGCCTTTATCGGCAGCGCCATCAAGTGCCGTGCCACCATCGCGCCCAGCCCCCAAACCCCAGGCACCCACCAACGCAGCCATGTCCATGCCAGCGCGCCCGGCGCCTCAACCCAGCGCGCGCGCAGCTCCTGCGGCTGCGCGCCCACTCATTGATCGCAGTACCAAGCCCGATGGGGCCTTGTCGGGCCGGTATGTGCGCTCTTTGCTATTGCTCGTACTTGAGTCTGTGTCAGGGCTCTCTTTCCACCCCAAGGTTTCGAAAGGGTTCACAGTGTCACAGTGTCATGACCTTTACGTTGTTCAGCGCGTTGAGTGAGGTTTCATCGCAAGTCTTCACCGCTTCCTCTCATGGATATATACGCTCTCTCGTGTACATGTGCGCGCAATGGTTGGCCTATGTCATTTTGAACTCATCATAGGTCACACCCAGCCTTTCGCAAAGCACGCATGGACAGTATGCAAGTTGTCCACGCTGTGGGCACGTCATTGCCTGGTAAGATTGGAGGCGCTGGCAGCCACATTTGCGCAGCCTCTCGGCATGGATTTTAATAGCCTAGGCTATGGACTTATGCTGACACCCTTTTTGCGCGATTGTGGGCTGGTATTGGACTAGGTCTGCGCAACTTGGGTAACACGTGCTTCATGAACAGTGTTCTTCAGTGTCTTCTTTATGCGCGTCCATTGACCATGTACTTTACCCAAGTAAGACGAACGGCCCTGCACGCCTTTTCTGATTTTGCGTTGGCGCATGTGCGCCTCGCCTTCTTATCGACTGGAGCGTTGGTCGGCGCACAGCCATGGGTCTCATGTCGCTCTTACTTGCGCCAGGGTCGCTATCGCAAGGACCTCAACCGCACCAATCCCATGGGGTGCAAGGGCGAGCTAGCCGAAGAATATTCGGCGCTTGTGGTCGAGTTGAACAAGCGCTGTTATCGCTATTTGGCGCCCAAGTTTTTCAAGGCTACGCTGGCTTCCTTTGCGCCGCAGTTTGAGGGCACTCAACAGCAGGATGCTCAGGAGTTTGCTTCCTTCTTCCTGGATGGCTTGCATGAGGACTTGAATCGCGTTCGGAAGAAGGTTTGTGATTGCAACGTACTGAATTGGCGCACGTGTTTGCTGACCGCTGCCTGTTGGATCAGTCAGCATTGCAATGGCTGGCGACTCCATGCATGGTCTCACTTCGGGCTCAAATTGTGGTGCACTGGGGCGCATCTTTCAGCCGGTAATGCAAGAGCTCGAGTTGGATGGCATGCCCGATCACCTGGCCGCAGACAAGGCCTGGAATGAGTATCTGACACGCCACAACTCTATCATTGTGGACCTTTTCCAAGGCCAATATCGAAGCGCGATGCGCTGCTTGACTTGCGGCCACGAGTCGCTCAACTTTTCTCCATTCATGTTTCTCACGCTTCCTATTCCAGCCAATCCCAGTGTGGATATTCGGGCTTGTTTGCAAGAGTTTGTCCGTGCAGAGCGCGTCAATGGCTGGTACGTGCGACAATTCTGCAAAGTTCAAGCATTGGTCATCGTTTGTACTTTGTCTCGTCGAGAGGTTCTCTTGCCGTTGGGCATCTTCCATTCGAACGCATGCCAGTATGTTGCTCAAAACAGTGGTCACTATTTATAGGCGCTGTCCCAAGTGTAAATGCGCCCGGGATGCGTCCAAAACACTGAGCATTTGGCGCTTGCCTCCCTTGCTAATGATTCATCTCAAGCGCTTCACGTTCTCGGGCCCTTTTCGCGACAAGCTGTCGACTCGGGTGCGTACCACTTGCCAATCACGGGCTCACATGCCCTGCGTCTACTTCTCATCTCAATTTCTTCACGGTATCAATCGCTTACCATATGGGACGTGGGGTACTTTCCAATACGTGGCTGACAGGTTGATTTTCCTTTGACAAACCTGAAAATTCAAGACGGCGTGGCTGTATGTCGCACTTTGGCCTTTTTTTACCCATGATCAGCTCTGCACACGCGCGCTAGTGGATGTGCCGTTGTTTGTTGTATGGTCAATCTCATGTGACTTGACGGGGTTTCTGGCGCGCGCGCTCGCGCGCGTGTGTGTGTGTGTGTGGGATGCAGAATCCGAAACTTCAGGAGCAGAAGCGCGATTACAAGCTCTTTGGCGTGTCAAATCACTACGGCAACATGAGTGGAGGACACTATATTGCCTTTTGCCGAGACTTCCAGTCCCGTCGGTAGGTCTTGTAGTTATCAAGACTGATCCTTGTGGACCTTTTCCTTCGAGTTGAGCTCATGGTTCACATTTTTGTCGCTTGCAGGTGGTATAAGTTTGATGACTCGGCCGTGAGCCCAATGCCCGAGAGCCAGGTCTGCTCCAATGCTGCCTACTTGCTTTTTTACAGCTGTTTGGACTTTGATCATCTGGGCAACAGCTTTTAGTGTGTGCTGGTTATGGAAAAAGACGAATGTTGATTTCTTTCTTGTTCAGTTTGGGCGCAGTGCGTCCCCGGTGATCGCGTTGACCATATGCTTGGAGGACGAGAGGAAAGCGAGAAAAGGAAGGGAAGGAGCATGGGAAGGAATGAATAAGGAGACTCAGGAATTGATATGAGAAACGTCGTTGCTTTTGGACGAGTAGTCTAGTTCGTTTGCAGCAGGTGAACAAAGTGTCTTGGCCATCAGAAATCTGGGAGGGGGGAAAGAAACACGAAAGAGGACGAACAAACACATTGAAAGCCATTGTCCTGAGAGCATGCTCTGATCACGATGCATCGTCATCAAGCCGTGATCACGGTTCGCATGGCTCCGCTAACGAGCGTGTTCGTGTGTTTGGGCATTTAGTAAGCTTGACTCTCTTGGCGATCCATACGATCCAGGACGCGCACAAGGTTGCTCAGCTTTTCGTGCAGGGACTCGAGGGCAGAAAAGAGAATAAGCGGGGCAGGCAGGGCACCCGTGCTCTAATGACAGTGGGCAAAAAAAAAAAAAAGGTCATGGCAGCAGTGGGTTCGAGTGGTGCAAGAGTGACGAGGGCGGAAGGCGAAAGTGGGGATACATGAGACACACCTCGACTGTCATGAAGTAGGTGCTTGGCTTGCCCTTGTAGTCGTACTCGGCCTCGTGTTCCCCCTCGGGCAGTGTGGAAAACTGTGGTTGTAATAAACGGTCGGGGGGTGAGCTCACTGACAAGGTACCGAATGGCATGAGGGGGCTAGAGGCGGGAAATCGGAAGCTGTGTGAGCAGACCTCGCTCTTGGGCCACATGCTTGGCACCTCAAAAAACGTGTGGCGCAGTGCATTATCTGGATCGTATTCAAAAGCAATGCCCGCCGTTGGGCACCACTTTGCATGTTCCTGGAGACGGACGCAAAACGTGAGGCGGCAGGTCGGTGTTGGGAGAAAGCAGCGAAGCAAAGGTTGACGAGTGAGAACCAACCTTGCCAAAGCCCTTTTTCGCAAAGGCGGTTAGTTGAATGCGCTGACCCTTGGCCAATTTGCAAATCACAATTGGGTTGCGGATGTTGCTCTCCTCTCGCGCGGAAATCTACCTCAGCGTGTGATGAGGCATTGGGACAGAGGCAGGCGCAGAGATACAGGAGGGCAACAAGGGCGAAAGCAGACATGAATGGTGGCTTGGGCATCATGTGCATACCGGCTTGACCGCCATAAAGTCACCGGCCGCTTGTGAAATGAGGTCATCGGTTGTCACATGAGTCGGCTGCATGGTCAGCGCGAGTTTGATAAGAAAGCTTGCTCGCAGCAACAAAGGGGCAATCCTGGGCGAATGAACATTCAAAGCTTCAGACTATGTGCAGGTGTCACCTCTTCAGTGTGGCCTTCAACGTCGAGCGTGAGCATGACTTGGCAATGATCACATCCCATCTCGCAGAGCGTGCAATCCTACACGTGAAAAGGCCAAGCAGACCAAACAACAAGGCGCCAGTCGCGGCCCCAAAAGAGGTTTGGTTGGTGAGCAGGGGCGTGCGTGCGTATATGTCTGTGCACATGTGCATGAATATCAAGGAGATGGGCGGTGTGAGTGCATGAGCATCTGGGACGCACGCGGGGGTAGTAAAATTTGTCGGCGGCTTCTGAAGTCAAGGGGATGAGACCGAGTCGATGTGCAAGAAACTCGTCTATCAGAGCAGGGTGCGGCACATGGTGAGTGACAGAGTTGGGCCGGGTCGGGTAGCACCACGCGCGAAAGCACCGCACACGCATCTAACTGACCATGCAGAACGGAGGTGTTTTTGGCAATGTGCACGGCATCAATAGCCATGGTGGGAACCTCAGCAATCATGACTCTGCATGGTGGGCATGACGCAGACAGGCAAGGTCATGATCAGAGCGGATTCGGGCAGATTATGAGGATGACGGCAATAATCAAGAAATCTTGGGGTTGGAGGCAGGCAGGCAGGCAGGCAGGGAGGGACGGTGCGGCCCCGGCTCGGTGCGTACCGGCGAAAAGAGTTGGCTAGCGCCAGGTCGCAGCTTTTGAGGACAAAAGTGATTTCATCGTGATTGTGCTCCGTGACCTCGATGCGGGGCGAGCTGTTGAAGGTGGGGGCGAGGGCCATCTTTGCAAGTTCAAGCAAGGCTGATCTATCTTGATCACAGACTGTGCGGAGTGTGTGACTGCGCGCGCAGGACAGTAGCAGCGGCGGCCAACTTGGTCTTCAAACCGCAGGCACCAATTCCGGTTCGAATCCCGCTGCTTTTGCCTTTTCCCTTGTTCAAATGCACGCAGACTTGTACGCCAGGCCGGTCAGGTCCCTGACGACGAGGAGATGCTATAACGAACGATGGTCCCGCTAGCAGCGACAAAGATGACAGCGACAACGACGACGACGACGACGACGACGACGGTGGCTACGGTGGCGGCGACGGCGACGGCGTTGAATGACGGGGTCAGTCAGGAACCAACTGTCAGTTCTCGCATCGGCGTTGGTACACATTGACTGCTTTCGTCTACTGTACCACTTGACGCAACAGTACATGAGGTTGATGTAGATACAGGGATTTTAATTAATGTTTGCTGCGAGACTTATTGTCGTATAAATTAGGGTTATTGTTGTCAGCAATTTTATGCCAGGCACGGACGAGCGGTCGGACCGACGGCGGAACCGCCGGGATGGGACTCACGGCTGACTTTGCGATTGTGGTGATGACGCTGATTGTGGCCGTGGTGATTGGACCGCTGGCGTTGGAGATCTTCTTTACCATCGCTGATGGCTGTGGGTACAACCTGCGTGCCACCCGCTGGGGGCTGCGGCTTTCGGGTATCTTGGCCAAGTGAGTGATGCTGCTCGCCAGTTAACAGCGGTTGTCGCTTTGTCGTTGATGCCGAGTACCCGCGCTTGCGCCACCCTCATGTTGGGCCGGCAGCCAGGTCCAGCAACCACACTGCACTCCTTTCTTGTCGTTGTCGGTGTTTCCTTGTGCTTATTTTTTTTTTTTTTTTTTTTTTTTTTTTGAATATGGTTCTTACTCTGATTGCGTTTGCGATTGGGTCAGAGGGAGTGACGTGGGCGAGTACTGCGTGGCAGCTGCAACTGTAGTGATGGTGGGCCTGCCCATTTACCTGCACTACACCGAGTACATTCCCTTTTGGCGAGCCACTGCGCACCGTCATTACATGGAGCTCTTCCTGTACCATGTCTTGCCATCATTCTGGATCAACAGCAATATTGCCTCAAACTACATCATGGTAGTCACGTATCAATTGCAAACGACTGACTGACAGAGCCGGGACTGTCTGGCCTGCACCATGCCATTGATGCTGATGCTGATGCCGGCCGGTGATTGCTTTGTTGCCGTTCTGGTACGCCCCTGTTGCAGACCATGGTGACGGACCCGGGACGACCTCGAGCCGAGGAGGCATCGGCCACCGCCAAGTATGCCCCGCTCTCGCTTCTCCCCTATTCCCCGCCATCTTGTGTTTGTTTGGTATTGCCGCAAACAAAAGGGATAAGAATGCCGATCATGTCGAAGAAAAGCATGCACGGCAGTCGACAGAAAAACAAACAAACAAACCGCACAGGTCTGCTAGCCGGTGCCGGGGTTGACCAGTCTCTGGCTGGGTTGTTGACATAGGGTGTGCGGAGTTTGTCGTCTGCCCAAGCCACCACGCACGCATCATTGCAGCTCTTGTAAAAGATGCATTGTGCGCATGGATCATCATTGCCCTTTTACCGTGGGCTGCGTCGGTATGTTTGATGGGACGCCCATCCCCTCCTTGGTGGGATGACGGGAGTCAAGGGTGCATGCCAGCTTTCAAGCGAGCGGGTAAAACGCGTGTACTCTCTCTCATGGACACGACTTCTTCTTTTTGGCTCGTTGTGTCGCTATCATGCAGGGGAGGGAAACAATCATTTCTTCTTCATGTTTATCTTCTATGCCTGGGTGGCGACGGTGTATGCCACCTGGCTGTCGCTGCATCCCTACCAGTACTGCTTGCAGACAGAGACGGCGGCCGAGTTGGATGCGACACCATGCAACGACTGGACGCACGCCAAGCCACGGCTGCTGTTCCTGTCCTTGGCGAGCTTGGCCATCATGTCAGCTTTTCTCTTCTTCATCATGGTGCTGCGCTCCTTGGATCGAACCATCATTGAGTTTCTGAGCTTCCAGAGTGCCAATCGCCGCCGCGAACTGCTCGATGCCTACCGGCCCCGGGGCTTCTGGATCAATCACCAACGCCTGCTTGGGCCCGTTCAGTACTGGTGGCGCTGGCTCTTGCCGCTCCCCTTCTTGCACCGGGCCATCCCGCCCTACCATCCCGCGCCACCACCACTGGCTCGATGATTTCGCCATCGATAATGTCAGAACAAAATGGGGATGTCAGAGAAAAATAATTGAATAATAGATACCCACAAGTCGACTTGAAAACTGCATGTGTATATAAAGCGTGCGTTGTTCAGTTACCGGCATGACCACACTCTACAGGATCTTTTGTATAGTTGGTCTCCCGTCATCGTACTCCTACGTTGACAAACCCTAAACGCACGATGAAGATAGAGAGGTCCATCACCTGAGCGTGAGGCAGGATCATCGTCCTACTCCTTTGTGGGCAGGCGCTGATTCCTCGATGACCGTGCGCTACCGTATGGCTCTTCGTGAGCAACGGTAGCACTGGTGGTTGGATCATTCCGAATGCGCTTCTTCCTTTCTTATGAATTTCAAATGAAGTCTTAGACCCTATAGCTCGGCTGCATGAAGCAATCAGTTGGTTTTTGGAACTCACTCCTGGAAGGAGACAATAATGGTCCGTCTTGACTGTATTTTTGAGAACCCCCTTGAACTTTACATCCGGATCTTTTCGTCTTCCAGTCGTTGAAATTTTTCTCTTTTCGTTTTCCAGCATCAGAAGAGATCTTGTGGTGCTCTTCTGGTGCTCCGTGTCCGTGTCTGGTCCTCTGTGTCTGTGTCAGTGTGTGTCTTGAAGTGAGGCTCGTCGCCGGTGCCTGGGTGTCCGTGTACTGTAGCGAGATCAACGATGGCGTTGCCAACCTTTCGGTCCGCCTTTGCTACGCGCAAGGTACGGCGGAATGGCTGATGACTGCGACTCCAACGGCTTCTGGCGCCTTTTGGCCTTCCAACGTTCCTAATCTTGTCGTGTACCCAGGTCTTTCTATGCTTGTTGCAAGTCACCCTCCCTGTCTCACATGCTTTGACGTGGCCCATTAGTTTGATGCCGAGGCTGCCATTGCGGCCCGGCGCCAGTCAGAACAGGCCCACCGTCAGAATTGGCAGCAAACAGCCAATTATTTCCAGCGGGAAAACGTGCGCGCTGACAAGGTCGCCGTAAGTTTTTTTTTGTCTTGCCATCACCCCTCCGCCCCTTCCTCAGACGCGCCAATTTGCTTAAAAGACGCTGGCCAAGTGCCACCAGGGCTGAAAGCACCTTATCGCTCTTCGGGTCCCTTGCCGACAGGAATGGAACTCTTTACAATCCTTTCAGCGCAGCATGCGCTCGGCGCAAAACAGCATTCGCGATGAGATCAAACCTGAACGGTCTGCTCTGCCCGTGGTCTGCTCTGCCCGTGGTCTCCTCTGCCTGTGGTCTCCTCTGGCGTCGGTTCCTGCTCGCCAGCCTCATCATCTTAATGATTGTTGCATGGCACAGCTTGGCACAGCGACGCGATCGCCTTTCTCGGTTGTTGCAAATGGAAAAGTGCGCTGCCCAAAACCTTCGCCCGTATCTGCCTCTGCCCCCCTCCCCCCTCCCTCCTTTGCTCAGCACAATGGTTCCCGACGATTATCCTTGCAGCGTGGCATACGAGCAGGAGCTGCGGGACATCGGACCACCGCGCGAGGACTATCAAAGTATGCGGACGCGCCTGGCTGACCTCAAGCTCCAACGCGAGCAGGAACGGCGCCTCGAGGCTGAGTCTCGCCTCCATCAAGCATGGGCTGATAATGATCCGGTACACTGTTGCCTGCCACCCCTCATGTTGCCTGAGCTCACGAGTGTGTTTGCATGCCTGTGTGTGTTCCCACGCTCAATCTGCATCGCTCTCTTTTCCTCACAGGATATGCGTCAATTGCGCTCCAACCGCATGCGTGCCTACTATGAGACTCAACGCGAGCAGCAGGTGTTATCCGGCCTCCATCTCTTGACTTTATTGTTTTCTACTCGCTGATGTATTCTGCTGATGTACTTTTTTAGCCTCGGCCCGCCTAATGCCAAGCCAGACCTCATGTGTTTGGCATCCTGTTGCCAATAGGCTTCCGATCGTCGTGCAGACATTGAGGAAGAGCAGCGTGCAGCTGCAGCTGAGCGCCGTCGCTTGGAACTTGAAGCCGAGCGCGCGTAGGTGCCCCTCAATCGCACCCTGTCAGAGCCGTTCCTCTCCAACATGCATTCATACCAATTATTGCGACTTGTCGTAGACGCGAGGCTGACCTCGAACGCCAGCGTCGTCTCCGCGACAAAGAGCTTCAGCATCAGGAAGACCTCGACCGCCAAGTACAGCTGTACGTTCCATCTGCGCCCCATATAATTAGGTCGCGATCATCGTTCTTCGCCAAAGGTCGCTGGTCTCATTCTTCTTTTGATTAGGCTACGTGAGCGGGAGGCCGAGGCCGAGCGGCTGCGCCGCGAACATGACCAACTTCTGGTATGGTGCTGCTTTTCTGTCTAGCTTATCTCATCTTCTGGCCTTCTCAAGCCATGCCCACCTTTGTATCTGTCTGATTACAGCTGGAACAAGCTCGGCTATATGAGGAAGAGGAACGTCGCAAGCAGCGCGCGGCCCAAGAACAACAGGTATTCTAGACTCGTCCTCTCATTACCGTATTGCACAACGATCCGGTTGCTTCTCAGATTTGCCTTGGAACAACCTCAACCTACCCGCACATCTCCTCGCGTTCTACTGTTAGGCACACTACGGGCGTACTCTTCGTTCCCAACACAAAGCCGCCATGATGCGCCGGTCACGTCAGCTGCAGGAAGAGCTGGAAACTGATTTGCGGTCTGTTGCTCTTGCTTGCCGTCGTCGGTGCTTGGCGGTGCATCAGCAGTCTGCGCGTTTGCACACCGTAGGCACGGCATTTCGTGCTGCCGGGTTCATCCAGCTCAGTTGTTCTTGGTGCTTTGTAGAATGCTTGAGGCGCTGGCTGAAGCCGAGGCGCAGGACAAAGATCTCAAGCTGCAACGGTCCGTCACAAAGGCATTTGATCTGCTCGCCCTACTTTTGCTCTTGGCCAGAGTTGACAGCCCACACAACCAAGCCTTGGCTAATGTTCTCAATTTTTTTTTTTACAAACATGCAACTCTTTTTTGGGGAAAACGTCTCATGGAAAACGTCTCATGGATATGTCATCGTGATTGCCCCGATCGGGCGACACGCTGGCTTGGATCATCATAGACGCCAACGCGCCCAGGAGGATGTGGAATGGATGAAGGCAGAGACTCGCCGTCAACTGTTGCGTGAACGTCAACGAGAGCTTGAGTTTGAGGACCTGTATCGGTATGAATCGGCTTCCACTGACAGATTTCCTTGGGCCCGAGTGGATGAAAGCCAGAGCACATGGTTCCATATTCAACTCGGTCCTCACTATCTATCTCCTTGTCTTGGTAGTGACGAGGCGGCACGGGTATGGGCCAAGCAAGAGGCTGTTTGGGAGAAGGAGCAGCTTGCTCGAGAGCGCTTGATGCAGCAGGTAGGGGTGCTTTTGCAGAGCCAATTGATCGCAAGTCCGCTCAATCCAAGCCGGGGTTTCTGCCGTTTCATTGCTGTCTCAACCCTTCTCTTGAATTTGATACCTTTCTTCCTGCTTTAGGTGCTAGCTGAGCGTCAGGAGCAGATTGAGCACAAACTGGCCAAGGTCCGTAGTGCCCAGCAAGACCTGATTACTGATCGTGAGACGCTGCTGCGTGCGATCGACACGGCCCGTCAGGTACGCCCCATCAGCCACGATTTGCACTCGCATCTTCACTGAGCAGCTGGCTGGCTTTGCTTTCCTCACACGCACCGAAACCACTCGTATACAGCAAGAGGCCAAGGCGGAGGAGCAAGAGGCAGCGGCGCGACGCGACATGAAGTTGGCTTGGCAAGATCAGCTTGCTGCAAAGATGGCCCGCGAGCGGGCTCAAGAGCGCGAGGCGGCCGAAATCGAAGCCCTGCGTCTGTGCGTGTCCTGCATTTACCTATTTTTTTTTTTTTTTTAACCTTGCATGGATCAATTACTTTCTGCTCACCCTCGACCCCTGTCCCTACCCGCGTGCCTGCATTGCTACATCCCTTACATTTGCTTCGTTGCGCGCATCCTGCAGGCAAGAAGAGGCCACCCGCCGAGCGCGTGTGCAGTCGGAAACGGCACGCATCACCAATACCAGCTTTGAGCCCCCCCGCTTTGGTCGTCGTCGCATTCCATGGAATTAAGAGAAGGCTACTGGTGTATTGCCAGCGTAATAACACGCGTTAGCACCATCCGGCTGTCGTGCATGGTCTGACCCTTGCTTCTCCAAATTTAATCCGATGAAGCGATGCCAGAATGGATCCAATTCTTGATTCAACAACACGATCTGAATGATCAACAATTTTTTTTTGATGCGAATAACACCATCAAATCAGATCTTTCACTTTCCAATCTTGCTTGAGGGTGAAGCTTCCGACAAAATGGCAGCAGCTTCACTGCTCCGGTTTGACGAGCGCGTCGTCATTGTCACGGGGGCTGGAAACGGTGAGCTCGAAGATTCCTGGCGAATGGCCCTCTTGCATGCTCTCGGTGGAAACCCGGACGTGCTGGCACATGCTCACGATGATGCAACTGCTCAGGCTTGGGTCGCGAGTATGCGCTGGCCTTTGCGAAGCGGGGTGCGCGCGTCGTCGGTAAGTGGCCTCGCTTGGAATCCCGCCCTTTTTTTCAACTCCCCCCCAAGCCTTGTCCATACGCCACCGCAAGTGTTTCTCTGCCTTTTTGGCCTGCTGCTCCCCGAGTCGGGATCGTCTACTTTTGATAGCACTCACACTCTCGTCATCGAATTAATGGTCTGGTGTGCCAGTGAACGATCTAGGCGGCTCAGTCAGCGGCGATGGCTCATCAAATCGGGCAGCCGATACTGTGGTTGATGAGATTCGTGCAGCCGGTGGCACGGCCGTGGCCAATTACGACTCTGTTGTCAATGGCCAGGCTGTAGTGGACACTGCTATCAAGGTGGGCGGCTGCCGCAAGCAGTTGCTCTTCCACTGACTTTGCCTGGTCTTGCCTGATCTCGAGTGTTATCCTTTTGGTTTTGCGAGGTTAGGCATTTGGCCGCGTGGATGTGGTCGTCAACAACGCAGGAATCCTGCGGGATCGCTCCTTCAGCAAAATGACCGAGGGTGACTGGGATATCGTGCATCAGGTTTGCCGACACATCTGTGCTTTTCTGCCCCTTGCGGCTATCCTATAAAGGTCAAGCCAGCGCTGGTACCAACATGACCATGCGCATGCCTTTCTATTACACAGGTTCACCTCAAGGGCAGTTTTGCCGTGTCACGAGCGGCTTGGCCCCACATGCGCAAACAAAAATATGGCCGGTATGTTCCGCGCTTGCCAACTTGTTCCCTCAGGGTGGCCATTTCTGGCCTTTTGGCGGGCCCTCAGCCACATGGCCTGGTGTCTGCGTGGTAGCATCATCATGACGGCCTCAACGGCTGGAATCTACGGCAACTTTGGCCAGGTGCGACAAGCCCCTTACTCAGCAGCTTGAATCATCTCTGCTCCTGTTGAAGCTCGATGCAGGCTCGAGCCAATACCCCAACTTGGCTCATAAAATGCCGACATCCAATGTCATTTGCCATCACGTTTGATGGGAAAACAGGCCAACTATTCCGCTGCCAAGCTGGGCCTGGTTGGTCTCTCCAACACGCTGGCCTACGAGGGCGCCAAGTACAACATCCATTGCAACGCGCTAGTTCCCACTGCTGGCTCACGGTGTGTGTGTGTGTGTTCACCATGCCACGCGTGAAAGCTTTCTGGCCCCTCGGACGTTTGTTCTTGACTGTTTGACCCGGTCTTCGTGCTTGCCGTCTGTCATTCAGGTTGTCAGCATCGGTCATGCCTGAAGACTATGCCAATGCCATGAAGCCGGAGTACGTGGCACCGGTGGTGCTATTTCTTTGTCATGAAAGCTGCGAGGCCAACCGTGGTGTGTACGAGGTGGGTACAGCAAACTCAAGGCGGAATGTGTCCTGGCGCCAATCATCATTGCCATCAGTGTTGCCTGAGCAAGCTGGTGCTGATGTGTGTCAAACTTGTGTAGACTGGTGCTGGGTGGGTTGCAGCCCTCAAATGGCAGCGCACGGAGGGAGCCAAGCTTCAGTCCGCAGAGTCGTCCATCTCGCCGGAGAAAGGTGAGGGAGGTCTTAAAAAGCCCGTGCTGGTCTTGTGTGCCGTGCTGAGCATGCGCATGATGCTGATTTCCATTCGTTGGGGGTTCTGGACTCTAGTGCGTGACGTGTGGGATAGCATCAATGACTTTGCAACGGCGTCAACTGTCGACTCGATGAACGGTGCGCCCAGACTTGTCGCCTCTCCGCGTGCGCTACCCAGATGCACCTATTCTCAGTTGCATATGCCTTTGCCGCCTGAACTCATGGGTGGATTGTGTGTGGGTGTGTGTGTGTGTCGGGGGATCACGAGGGCAGACAGCACGCAGGCCAACGTTGCGGCGCTGGAGGCGGCAGCTGGACCAGGCGCCACCAAGGCGCGTCAGGTTGGTGGCAAAAGAGGCACTGCCAGCTTGGCGGCTAGCCCTGAAGCCAATGTGCAGCAGTTTGATCGCAAGCAGGCGCTGAGCCATCGCTTTCCAACCACTTCCTACGTGGTTTCGCCGCGCAATGCGGCTCTCTATGCCCTCAGTGGTACGGCTTGGGTTGCCATGAATTCCAACCTTGTATCGGTCGAAGTGTTTTGGCCTCGTCCGCGGTGGCTTGCGACCTTGGATGGTGGTGTGGTTTGCCTGCTTATGTGTGGTCTGCGTGCGTGTGACATCTTGGCGGGGTTATTTAGTGGGATGCAACCCCTCCGCCCACCCCGAGGAGCTGCGCTACGTGTATGAGGGTCACAGCGAGTTTGGCACGCTGCCCACCTTTGCTGTCATTCCTGCCCAGGTAGACAGCGGCCTGTATCGTTATTTAGTCTTGCAAAAAAGGACAAAGGCCACTTTGAGCAAGTGTCACGTGTGTTATGCCCTTGGGCTAATCATTGAGGCGACGTATGATTAGATGGCAACGAGCCAGGTGATGACCGGTTTGCCAGGCTTGCGCTTCAACCCCATGCAGCTCTTGCATGGAGAACAGAGCGTCACGATTCACCGGCCACTGCCTACAGAGGGTACGACAGCGTTTACACCAGCAACTTGGCAGCCTGTGAAGTGCTGTGTTCGTTGCCAGAGCTTAATCGTCTGGTCTTGCCCACAGGCAAACTCGTCTCTCAAGCTTCTTTCGTTGATATTCTCGACAAGGGTCGTGGTGCACTGGCCATTCTCAAGGGTGCGTGGCAGGCGGGGGGAAGAGCCCTCCTGTGGGCTCCCGTGTTTGTTGCGAGACGCCCGACTTGATGGCAGGGTAACGGCGTTCACTTGCATCTAACCTGGAGCTGCTGGCGGGTCAATATAGTGGAAACTCGTGCGGAGGCTGGCGAGCTGTTGGTCACCAATGTCTTCTCATTGTTCATCCGCGGCCTCGGCAACTTTGGAGGCCCCAGCACAAACGATGCAATTCCCGTATGTTGTTTGCTCGCTTGGCATTCTCCTTCTTGCTGGGCTTGAGTGATCTGAAAAGCTCGTTCTTGCTTGCATTGGCACACAACAGGGCAACGTGCCTGTGCCACAAGGGGCACCTACGCATGTGTTTTCCGAAAAAACTCCGACAAACCTGGCCGCGCTCTATCGCTTGACGGGCGACGTAAATCCCTTGCACATTGATCCAGAAATGGCCAAGGTGAGTGGGCACGCGTGAGTGCCCAAGAGGGCGCAAAGGACATGGCTGATCTTTTGTCAAAGAGCATGGGTTAGTTTGTCGATTCGTTCGTCGATGCAGCTGGTGACGGGCGATCCTGGCGTGACCCCTAGGTGGCGGGCTTTCAACAGCCTATTCTGCATGGGCTGTGTACATACGGCACGGCCGCGCGCCACGTGATTGCTCAGTGCTTGGGTGGTGATGCTTCGCGCGTGCACGTGGTTCGGGTGCGTAGTGGTGGTCGAAGAGCCGTCTTTCGCGCATGTGTTTGCTGATCTAGTTCCATCTCCGTGGGCATTGCTGATGGCTTTTTTTTTTTTTTTTTTTTTTTTTTTTTTTTTTTTACCGAGGCTACAGGGACGATTTGCGGCGCCGGTGTTTCCTGGCGAGACACTGGAGACATCGATGTGGGTGCGAAGCAGTCGCATCCACTTTCAGACCCGAGTGGTGGAGCGCGATGAGGTGGTGCTTTCTCACGGTTACGTGGACATCGTGCCGAGCTCTTCATCAAACCCTAGCGCGTCTTTGCCATCCAAGCCTGAGGTGCGGGTCGTGAAACCTCTTTGCAAAAACTGCGTGCATGTGTGCATGCGTGCGTGTGCGCGTGAGCGGGGCTGGACACGGCGTCCTTCTGATATTTTCATCTCTTCTCTTAAAATGCGCGCTTCGGCTTCGTAGGTGGTGGAGGTCTTTGAGCGCATGCAGGCCAATCTCTCGCAGGAGTTGGTGCGCCAGGTCAATGCTGTCTTTACGTTTGCCCTCAAGTCGGCACAAGGTATGCGGTCCATGAATGGCGCACGGGCATGTACACGTGTGTGTGTGTGTGTGTGCGCGCGCATGACTGACACATGGACGGGTGAATGTGATGTTGTGATAATGTGGGCGTACAGGTTCAGATTCACGCTGGGTGGTGGATCTCAAGTCGGGCGCCGGTGCCATTCACCCGCCGGGAGCCCAGCTTGAAGGATTAAAAGTGGACACGACGTTGAAACTGAGTGAGGACGACTTTGTCAAGTTGGCGCGGGGCCAGCTGAATGCCATGCAAGCCTTTATGCAAAACAAACTCAAAGTCTCGGGCAACATGATGCTGGCACAAAAGTTGTCTGGTCTTTTTCAAACCCAGGCCAAGCTGTGAGCTCCTGCCTGTCCTTCTTCATTGTTAATGGTACCGGGCCTGCCATCAATGAGATGCTCCAAGAGGCATTGCGAGGCTCACGTTGGCTCTTCAAGTAACGTTTTAACAAATTGAATGAGCCTGACAACATTGGTGCTGTGTTACGCGACAAAGTGTGCCAGGATGGATTGGCCGACGACACGTGCGTGTCAAAGGGTGGACGGGCGTACTTGTCGCAGCATCGGATGACCGGGGGGTGCCAGAGCACGGCCCAATCACAAAACGGCCCAGGACGCGTTGCAAAGGAATGCAAGGCATGGGAACCGGTTTTGCTTGGGCAAGTTGGTGAAACCACACAGCCTGTGATTTCTGTTCATTGCTTGACGTCTTGGTTGATGGATCAGACCAATTCTCATCTGCACGTCTACGTTTTTTTGAAGAACCCATGCGATCCATGCCTCAGGCACCAGCTCGCGAGGCGGCACCCGTCCCACTGACTGCCGTTTCCTTCCCAACCAAGCGCCGCCCAAACACGAACGTGATGACGCACAAGAGAAACACAAGTGTCATGACGAACAGTTGCGTCAAGTGAAGTACGGAATCAAAGTGGCTTCACTGCAATGTCAGACAAAGAAACCGGTTTGGCGTGACGGATTTGTGTTGGAAGGTCGCAGTGAGAGGGGGGGTCAGTTGGCAACCATAGGAACACAGAACGGTCACATTATGGAAACCGGCGTTGCTGTGGCGTCTCGGATCGGCTCCTGGTGTCCGGCCTCTGGGTCTTCGGACCTTGATCGCCGTCGTCGTTGCTGCCAAGGAATCATGGCAGGGGACTCAGCTGGCTCGGTTGGTTCAGGCTCTCTCTCCCAGGCGCCGCTCAACTGGTCGTCAGCAATAGCATCAGGGGTTGGTAGGGGCAGGGGTCGCAAATAAAGGAAAACCATTGGTTAACTGGTCACTGAACCAGCTCTCGCGTCCGTCGCCGCTCCCTCGTGCGCGCACAATGGTCTTATAGCTTTTCTTATGAGCTTGACCGACTGGCATTTTTCTTCTTGGCCGATCAGCCTTGATTCAACAAGCCACCCAGCGATTCAAAACCACTGCAGCGCCCTTCCGCTGCCATATCACCATATCATGATGATGATGCTGACGCCAACAACCAAGCTCGTGGCGACTGCCACTGCGGCTTCCGCCAAAGCTGCTCTGGCCGCTCCGGTCGCGCTGCCCATCCTTTCCCGAGCCTTCCATGCCTCGGCCCCAAGCCACAACGCTGCCCCTCAATTCGACGCCAACACTGCCAAAGAGCAGAGTGCCCCTCTCCGCCACTTTCGCCTTTCCACTCAAAAGCACCCGCTCTATGAGAACAAGGATAAGGATGGCAAGCCCGGTATGTTTACTTCTTCTTCTTCTGTCTTTGGGACCTTCGTCTGGCACGTTCATCCACTCGCAGCTCTCAGTTTTGCCAACCTCATGCGGGCTGCTCTTACGATACTTTCTCTGGCTTTAGTTTGGATCAACCCGAGCGACAACAAGGTTTGGTCTGAGGAGGAGGTCATGAGGTAAGCTTTCAACCCAAAGGCGTTGGTGTCTGGATCGCATTGGCCACTCCCTTCTGACCTGCCTAACTTGCTCTGTGCCGCTACCGTGCAGTGTGCAGCAAACACATATTGAACCCAAGGACCTTTCTGATCGCGTGGCCCTAACGGCCATTCGCATCATCCGCAAGGGGTTCGACTTTTTCAGCGGCTACATGTTTGGCCCCATCAACGAGACCAAATTTCTGCGTCGTGCCATCTTCCTCGAAACAGTCGCGGGCATTCCTGGCATGGTGGCGGGCTCCTTGCGTCATCTTCGCTCCCTGCGTGGCATGCAACGTGACAACGGCTGGATCCACACTCTTCTTGAAGAAGCCGAAAACGAGCGCATGCACCTTCTCACCTTCACCAAGGTCAAGCAACCTGGCATCATCTTCCGCAGCATGGTCCTCGCCGCTCAAGGCATCATGTGGAACGCCTACTTTGTTGCCTACCTCGTTTCCCCCCGCACCTGCCACCGCTTCATTGGCTACCTTGAAGAAGAGGCCGTCAAGACTTACAGTCATGCCATTGAGGCTCTGGACAAGGGCATGATGCCCACCTGGAATAACAAGGAGGCTCCCGAGATTGCCAAAACCTACTGGGGCCTGGCTGATGATGCTCTCATGCGTGATGTCCTCCTCGCCGTGCGTGCCGACGAAGCCAACCATCGCGACGTGAATCACACGCTCAGTACCCTCAAAACGGATGCCACCAATCCTTACGTCAACCTCAAGTGAGCCAGTGTTGTGACTGTCATCTTAACCAAATCAAGCCGATCGCGGCTTGCAGCTTCTCCTACTTTTTTCCACCTAGTCACCTAGGTCACGCTAACCTAATGTTTCCGAATCTTATCCCTCTTATGTTCTGTACACGAGTTGCATATAATTCATTTTTTCGCCATCCCTTCTCAATCCTCGACCCTTGGTGCGTGAGTTGGCTGAGGCAGTGGATAATTCCAATGTAATCTGTCGTTTTGAAGATCAACTCTAGTAGCGCATGGAATCGCTTATGGCACAACAACAGACAAGACAAGAGAAAAAAAAAACACCTTTGTGCGCTGCCGTGAAGTATTCTTACGAGCGGAAGGAGCCTGGCCAATGTCAGTGGTCAAACCAAACACCGGACCGTGAACATGGAATGCACGCGACCACACGAGCTCAAGCGCAGGAAGGCTAGGCACGCATTTAGTTGTTGGCGAGCTGGCGCAGCTGGTTGAGATACTGATACAGGCCCAGCTCCGTCGCCCCCTTGGCTTCGCCCAAGTACACGTAGCGTGACGCAATAAAGGCCGAGAAACGGGCCTTGAGGTAGCTCTCAGGCAGGCGACGCTCCAGCTCCTCAACGGACACGACCTTTTGCAGGGTCTGGGGAATGGACTGGCGCATGACCTGAAGTATATCCAAACGAAAACAGGCATCCAGCGTGAGCAAAGCCCGGGACACGGGCAGAATGAGCAACGTTGATGGTGCATGGAACACATTATCTTACAAAGCGGCGCAGCTGAGCATCGTCAAAGAGATCAGAACATTCAATGTCATCCTTGAGCTTGACAATGCGCTGGCTAAGTGTGTCGCTAGCCTGACACAGAGGCTTTTTGGAGTTCTCCTTCACCATCCACAGGCGCTCAAACTCCATGTCGGCATTGTCTTGGATATGCTGCTGCACATCCTTCACGTAATCGGTGTAGAACTGAGGCTCTGTCTCCTCAACGCACATGTGCTGCTTAAACTCGTCATCTAGCCCCAGCGTCCATGATAAAGCATGGTGAGGTCAGCATACAAACACCACCATGGGTTACTGCAAAGCACCTCAATCCAGCACACAAAAACAAACAAATAAACAAACAAACGTTGCGCCAAGCAATTTGACAAACCGGTCAGTGCCAAAGCCGCGAGCACTTCGAGCGAGGACGAGGTCACGCCGCCCTTATTTGCACTATAAACGCGAGATGGTCAGAATATCAGTTCAGGCAGCCCATGCCACAATCAAAACGAGCCATGCGGCAAAAAGCCAGACAGCGTCAGCAAGGCCCACAAATCTCACCTGGCGTCCTTGACGACGACGACACCAGCAGCCTCGAGTTGGAGACGAGCCTCTTGGGTGAAGAAGAGGTTGGCACCCTCAACAATGTACGAGAAGCGCAGGTTGTCCTTTTGGTCATAGCAAAATGTCTTCCAGTTCGACTCGTTGACGGCTGCCGGACGACCGCCGCAGGGCACAAAAAAGTCGGCGTGCAGGTCGGGCAGGAGATGGTAGTTGTTGCGAAACTGCAGGCCCGACTCAATGATTTGACCCGACGGTAACTTGACATCGGTATCATCAACGAGCACTCGGTAGCCTTGGGCGGAAAGCAGGCTAATATCAAAGTTGGACACGGGCAAACGGGGCTTGTGGCAGGCCAAGCGGCGCAACTCCTGAAGGTTGATGCCTTCCGGATCAAAGAGCACGCCCGAGCCGTCAACGATAGCCACGGTCTTTTCATTGCCGAGCTTAATCTCGTTGCTGCCCAGGTCACCGTCCGGGCCGCCAGTCTACAAATGTTGGTCATCATCGTTCATCGTCACGTGAATGGGGGGTCGCAGGTCGCAAAGAGGCACAGAGGTAGCGCTTCGACGAGTATGTAGCGGGGAAGCATGAGACGCACCTGGACCTTGGTACAGGCCGTGCCCTCGAGGCTCAGCTTGCGCTGGATGCCGGTGACGTAGGCACGAACTGAGCGTGTGGTCATGCCATACAAGTCGTGCGGGATGCCACCCATGTTGGTGCTCTTGCCGGTGGTGAAGCCCTTCCAATAAGGGTAACCACGCTTCTTGGCATGCAGTGAGGCCCAGTCCATGAGGTCTGCGGTGCCCTCGTCAGGGCCCAAGAACAGCAGCTATGTGGGGCACCAGACAAAGTTGTTCCGGATTGAGTTGCCGAGAGCAAGAGTATCAAAGCGCTGAAGAGCTGGGCGCCAGGGTGTGATGCATTCATTACCTCGGGTTGGCTGTAGTGTTGCACGGTCATTTCATTGGGGAGCATCAGGTCCAAAAGAGCGTCAATGTACTTTTTAAAGGCGGTCACACCCTGTGTCTGGTGGTGGAGTCCAAGAAGGATCACACCCTTGCTGCCACCCTCGGGCAGGTCTTTGTTCTTGCGCTGCTGCGTACTGGCAAGGTTGAAGCACTCGTCGAACAGGTTGCTCACGTTGGTCGAGTAAGCCTGTGGGTAGCGAGACTGAACCAAGCGGATGCCGCCGCGGGCCACGTCGCGGAAGCGAATGTGGAAGCCGCGAAACTCGGCTCCAATGACCATGAAGATGCCAAAGGGACGTTGCGTGTAGACGGTGCCGGACAGGAAATCCGGGTTCAAGCGGAAGGCCAGCGCCGTCTTGCTAGGGCGATAGAAGTTGGTCTGTTTCAGGTGCACATGGCCGTGAGCGTGCCAAAACACAAGCACGTAAAGCACGTAAGGCATATAAGACTGAGCCAGGCCACCCTAAAGCTTGGCCGATCAGTTCCCTTTTCAAGCTCTCGGGCTGCTAAACAACAGGCTACGCACCTTGAGAATGTGGGTATTGAAGGACAGGAAAGCCGTGAACACAGCCTGCTCAAGATCTGTGTGGCAGGTACGCTTGATGTGCGCGAGCTCAGCTGCCTGATCCTGATCCAAGCCCAGGCTGGCTGCGCAGTAGGAAGGCAGAGTGACAAAGGCAGGCAAAACCGTCAGACTTGAAGTGATATTTTTTTTTTCTGTGCTGACACATGGCACACTCAAAGGTTGCCGGCCTTACTTGTGCGGCTGCCGGTGGACTGTTGTTCGTCAGCCTCGAGCGAGGATGGTCGGTGGCGGCGGGCAAAATCGGCATACAAGTGTTTGACCAAATCCTTCTGGGCAAAAATGGCTTCTTGAATGCTGCCTTCGTTAAAGGCATGGGTCTGGAAGGCAACTCGAAGTTCCGAAAGGGCCGAAGCAGCCGAGTCCCCCGCGTGGCGCAAAAGCTCGCTGAGCTGCTGATGGGCCGCCTGGCCACGGTTCAGAAAATGAAAGGCAAACTTCCAGGCGCAGAAGGCATAGGCCACTTCCTCCGCGCTGAGCACCGAGGAGCTGAGCAGCGGGGTCAGGCTGTGCGAGGGCAGGACGTAATGGAGGCTAATGTCGCGTAGCATGCACTTGACACGCGTCTCAAAGCTGTTGACGGGCGAGTGAGAGCGCTCGCCGTCATCGATAATGGCTGTCAAGGGACGCAAGTAAAAGCTGTAGACCACGACGCCATTGGCAAAGGTCTCGACCGCCTTGGAGCTGGCAAAGAGGTTGTGGAAGCGGTAGACGTTGGGCACACTGTATTCGGATGACGAGGCATTGCCCATGAGAAGATGCGCGATGGGAAAACAAGGAAGACGGGTTGTGGGGAAGGGAGTGTATACAAGTCGGTGTGGATACGCACCCAACGAAAAAGCCCGCGCCATCATCGCGGAGGTGGGCGACCATGACAAGGGTGCTCTTCTCGCCTTCTGAGTCGATCACGTCCGAGTACGACTTGATGGCGTAGCCATGGTTATCCATCACCTGGTTCATGACTTCCTGCAAGCGGCCAAAAGCGCAAGGGCAGGACATTGGGCACATGTGTGTGGTGTCAGCGTGGTGTAAGTGGTTTCAAACGTGTACATGTGTACATGTGTGCGTGCGTGCGTGCGTGCGTGCGTGCGTGTGCAGGAGCGTGCTTCGTAAAGCTTGATCAATGTTTGAGGCAAAGGTGAGATGGGCGAGGGCGAACCTGGTAGCGCTCGAGCGAGTCTGCGTCGCACTGCTTGAGAAAGTTGGTGTCCGCAAGCTTGCGGATGTCGCGCTCGTTCTCATCCACGTCGGTGGTCTCAAAAACGGGAGCTTGCAAAAAGTACAAGCGAAGGTGGACCTTGGACTTGGGGTCGACGGGGCGCTTGGAGCGAAAGGCTTGCAGGCGCCAGATCTCCGATGAGACAGGCTTTTCGGACATCATGCGATCACGCTTGTGATGCTCCAGGTGGGTCTCATAAGCACTCTTGCCACGACCACCGCCATCGGCTTGGCGGAGTTGCTGCTTGCCGGTCAAATATCTGGCAATGCCAGCGGGCAATGAGATGCCGCAGCGGAGTCACACTCGGTCAGGCACATCGTTTGGCTGGGACAAGCCAGAGCTGTGGAAGCTTACTTGCGCTCAATGTACTGCTCTGTGACAAAGACGGGCGACTCTTGCTTGCCGACATGGCGCATACGCATTTGCCCATCGTTGCCAACGTTGACAAAGGAGCGCGTGATGAGCAGGGCAGATGACTAAAAACCAAACCAAGCAAGGCAGGGATGAGCGGCGGAGATGTAAGTGAGGCGGGGAGGCTTGCGGCTCAAAGGTGGGTAGCGGGAAGAGCAGCAAAGGGCATACCGAGCTTTCGTTGCGCACGTTGATGTTGAGCGCATCATTATTGGCCTCGGCAACGGTCTTGGCGCCCTGTATTGATCGACAGAGATCTTAGAATGAGCGAACGATAAGACACGGGTGGGGCGAGGTGTGCTGTTGGGGAGCCTAGTGGGAGCCTGAAGCACGCACCAAGTAGTTGAGCACATGCTTCGCGATGCGCGAGGCGGACATGGACTGAAAGTAATAGTCGGGCAGGCCAACGTCGTTGAACCACTTGCCCACCTAGACTCGAGGAGACATGGCGTGAGTCGAGGTGCTAGATGGGTCTTGACGAATGGAAGCGAGACAGCAAGGCATACGCACCTGCTCTTCGAGGCAAGCGGAGCTGAATTGGGTTTCACTTTGCTGCAGCTGGGCGAGCACTTGATCTTTGGTGACGGCCATGTTGCCTAATATCTGTATGATGGCACGAGTAGAAAATGTCGTGAGGCCACGCGGTCCCACAGACACGGTATCGTCGCGCCTGCTGTGAGAACAAGCAAGCTTGACTGGAGCAAAGAACCAACCTGTTGCGTTCCAGCTTTTGGCACGGCGTGGTCAAAGGGTTTGGTCTTGTTTTTGAAACTTTGGACCCGTGAGATGAAATTGCGAAACGAGAACCGGGGCGAAGACAGACCGCACAGCGGATTCCAACAGTGAGTGAGGGCCTGCTGACTTGGCTGACTGGCGAAATCTCCAGCACGTTGGGCAACGCCAACGCCACGCCACACCCCATTGGTTGGACCAACGTCCCATCACACACGCACCTGTGTTTGTTTGTTCTTTCGGAAAAAAAAAAAGAGAGAAAGGAGAAGCCAGACAGACACTGGGACAGTCGGGAGGGGGAAATGGCACCGGATCGAGAGAGCGAGAGAGAGCAAGAGAGCAAGAGAGAGAGAGAGCAAGAGAGAGAGAAGCTGGCGCGGTGGTGGAGGTTACTGTGTCGTAATGCCTAGTGTCATGTCGCAATCCACGGGAGTAATGTTGTAATGGTGTGTGTGTGATGGTGTGCGTTGTTGTCGTCGTCCACAACACACCCAAAGCACCACACAAGCACCACACCACCATCACACTTGTGTGCTGTTTGTAGCTGTGGTGTGGCTTGTGTTTGGCACACATGCGGTGTACATCGGCACACGTATAGCACACACATGGCTGGGCACGGTGATGTAATCGGATGATGTACACGTGGTAGCGGGGAGCGTCGGCCTTACACTTGGTTGCGGGCTGGAAGGCTCCAACAACGCAAGCAACACAGGGAACGAAGATTTTGATCAGACTGTTGCCTTCATCTTCAAACCTCGATTTTTAAACTTTTGCGACCAAAACAACCTGGCTTTCGGCTCGATGCTCCGGCGCCACCTCGGCAAGATCAAGTATGGTGGCGAGGAGAAGATCAATGTCATGACTGCCGTCCTCATGACCCGAGATGATATGCAGCCGCACGCCGAGGTTTGCCAGCCTGCGCGTTACAGCCACACAACATGGTCAGGGCAAAGACACCAGCAAACGTGATAACCCAGCACAGGGAGGGCTGCTTACCGCTCCTCATCACAAACAACCTGTGTAGTTGTACTCGCGACCACCTGCATGTGCAGCCAAGCGAAACCAAATGAACAGCTCAAGGCCACACTCAAGTCCCCAGCCAAGAGCAACAGCGGCCAAAAGGGGCGGGGCTTAACGCAGGGCTGCCTCAAACGCACGTCTGTGACATATTCTGAAATAGATGAGACATCCCGGCCTCCACAGAGCCGTGCAATCTCCGTCACGTAGCCTGATGCAGGTATATCTCCAGACTCGCGATCATTGCGACTATTTAACAGCAAGACCTGCGGACAGAGCCACATGCACACGAAGAGGCAGCGAGGTTAGACACGCACATCATAAGTCCTTACAGGTAGACGGGCTGGGGCAGTGCCAATCGTTCGACCACAGCATATACCCACCTTTCGACACGGGCGCTGGGCGATGGTCGGGCCAACACCACCGACGACCAACGAGGCCCCGATCGACGTATACAGCGAGCCCATGGAATAGACAATCTCAACCCAGCAAACGTTCGAGTTGAGTCAGCACTTTGGCGGCAGCCCCACAGTTTAAGCAAAACAACAACAATGACAGCAACAACAGCAACAACACAACGATAGCAAACACAGCACGCTTGCCGGATGGGGGGAGGCAGGGGAAGCTCACGTGCAAGGGCTACTGATTCAGGTACATACCATGTCAGCGCCTCGCAATTGCTCTGCAACCTCTTGATCCATGGCCAGCTTCACCTCCTAAGTCGGGCAACAGCCACCAAAGCAATTGGGTGAATCCAAACTGACGATTCATTCGTCGCCAGCGCATGGCATGATGGCTGCAGTCAGAGGCGATCATGAACTCAACAAAAAAAACCAAAGAAAGAAAAATCAACAAATAAAAGCAACAACAACTGTAGCCGTGCCTGGTCCCACTGATTCACATAGAAGAGACGCTCAATCGGTGACTGAAGCCGAGAATCAGTGCCTACTGCTTTGTCCACCTGCGCAAAGCAACGCAGAAACGGAAGCATTGAATCTGATGAGGTTTGTAATCAACCAACGTCCGGCATGGGCCCGAGCAGGGGGTGTCCTATCGTGGCGTGATAGCCATGGCGCAGAGCAAGCAAGTCAACAAAAGCCCACCTGTGTGCCTGGGTGGCTGATCTCGTTTTGCCCAAACACCTGGATGGCAGCCCGTGAATCAAATTCTTCAAAGGCGGAATTTGGCGCTCGGTCGCGCGTCAACGCTAGGGGTTAAGCTCGGCACAGTGCTCGCATACCTGGGTGCCATTGGTCAGCGCACATCCTAGGGTGAGGGTGTGGTGTGTGTTGATGACAGGCAACACCTTGGTCACGGAAGGGATTCCGGCCACGGATTTCCTGGCCGAGAAAGATCATGCTTGATGAGTGGGGTCCATGGCAGGCAAAGGGACACCGGCTCGTGCAGCCAGGCACTGTTGTACCAGAGATGGACAGCACTTTTGAGCGAGTGGAAGAATTTGCGGGCCCCGGTAAAGAAGCAGTTGCCGATGCTGGCCCCACGAAAGTCAAACGGGGGCTCGTCCATGCCTAGATACGCATGCACATTAGGTCAGCAGCAGGGTTGAAGCTCTCTCCCGCCTCTCCGTCGCCTCCACCGCCGCTGCATGTGGACATTGTACGGACCTCTAGCATTGTGCGCGGGTACGCCGCTCGCTTGGAGGATGCTGGAGTTGAATTGGAGCAAGAAAGAGCGTATAATATGCTTGTAGGCATCCGATACGCCGATCCACAGCTCATGGGAGCCCTGTCAGTGTCAACGTTTTTTTTTTTAAGCGCAGAGCGGCATGACTTGGAGCCAATCGCAAGGGACCCCAAGCTGTGTAGCGTCCTACCTCTACAATGGCCAACCATTGCTCGCGCGCTTCCGCTGTGACATGAGGCAGGCGGTGCTGCAGGAGACTCAGTACGGCTCGCTGCTCGGGAGTGTCTTCTCGGGCCAGACGGAGGAGTCGGGACCGGATGTCGCCAATGGCCGGCCCCCCCAGGATGCGGAGGATTTCCGCTGTACTGCCGCCGTCGTCCGAGACAGGCAAGCAATAGCTCACGTGGGCATAGATCTTGGCCAGCTCCCTGCACATGACAGCAAGTGAGCAAGATGTGTGCGCATGCAAACTTCTGCTTTGCGTCAACGCAGCCGCTGGGCGTCTACAACGTACCGTGATGCATCGTTAAAGGCCGAGCCACCTGTAAAGAAGAAAATGCGTGCGGGCGTGACCTCCTCAGCCCCCTCAAGTGAAGCTGTCTGGCTTGCCTCAGCCGGTGGGGAGCCTGCTGCAACGCCAGCCATCTGTCGCGTTCATTCGCGTCGAGGCTCCACTGCCACCTTTATTTGATACAAGCAAGCAATCCTCAAAAATTTGCCAAAACTGCATCAGAAAACACCCCTCCTTTTTGTTTTTTTTTGGCGGGAAATGTCTGTTTTGTCGACAAATCACAACTACAGGTTGCCCTTCCAACAAGAACTCGTACGTGTACCAAGATGTTTCGTCGCAATAAAAAGGAGAAAGGGTCTTGCAGGCAATGGAGTTGAATCCTCAGTGTTCACGTCTGTATGAGGTGGTGGACAGCAGGGAGACATTTGCAAACGGGCGATTGGCCAGTACAAGTTGCTCGGTATCGGATTTTGTGCTTTGACTCTCCCAACTCTGGGATTAGCAGCACCATGGGTGGCCGCCGCGAAAGCGCTGTCCGCTTGCTTGAGCAACTGCAGCAGCAAGGTCCGTTCCACTGCACCTCGTTGGTAGCCCTGCCCCCATGACCCAGGATCATGTTATACTCGTGTTGGTTAAAACCAAATGCTATTGGTTCACCAGACGCCTCGGCAAGCTTTACGGCACAACGCATCGAGCAGCTGAATGTTGATCTGGCTCAGGTCGAGCGCGAGCAGCGCGAGCTTCAGCAGCGTATTGAGGTGCTGAGCGCCCGTCGAACGCATCTTGACAGCGAGGCAGCGCGGATCGAGCAAAAAATCACCGCCGAACAAGTCCAGCTCCAAACGTGCGTGCCGATGCCCAGTCCATTGCCCTGTCCCATCTAGACATGCCTTGCTTAAACTTATCAAACTAATCGAACGGATTCTCCCGTCCTTGGCCGCAGCTCGACCACGCAATGTGATCATGTGACTCAGCAATGCCTCGACACGCAGCGCAAGGTCTTGCGCCTCATTCACATGTACCAGAAGCAAAGGTATGAATGGCACGGGTGCAACGCTTCCAAGACTCGGGCGTTGTGTGCTAAGCTATCTCATCCTCATCTTGTCTCTGGTACAGCCTGCGCACCACCCTCCCCACTGCGCTTCAACAGGAGCTGACGCAGCAAGAGCCTCATCTGGCAGCACGCGTGTGTCAGCTTGCTGCGGAGGGCGATGGCCCAGCTGACCTCTTGCCCGAGCTTGACATGGCCACCCTGCTGGCCGATCTCAGTGCGTAATGCACGTTGGTGCTGACTGCTGAGCTAGCTTGAGAGACGCTGTCCATTGACTTATGTATGCCGTCTGTTTGTATGACAATCGCGGTGGACTCTGGTGCTTGGGCATCGCCTCTGCGTGGACATGTACCGTCATCTGTGTCTCAGCCCTTGTTGACTCGGGGCAGCCTGAGGTCAAAGAAGCACCAAGCAATGTCGACGAACCTGTTGCAACAGCCGAGCAAGCCCCGCAGCATGGCGCCGACCCACCAGACATGCAAGCCCCACGCGTGGCCTCACCTGTACAGGAAAATCGCGACCAAGCTGACAGCCCCGCAAGCAGCCCCCGGCTCCAAGAAGAGCCCAGCTGCATCGTAGCGCCCACATCCACATCACTGCCCAAACCCGAGCCCAAATCGGTGCCTACCACTCCGAGAAGCGATCCATCGCCGAGAGCGCTGGGCATGAACATGGACCGCCCCAATGAGGCGCAGAGCCTTCCTACCTCACCATCCAAGCGCACGGAGCGCCCACCACTCTCTGTGCCCCCATTACCCTCGCCCAAGCGCTCCTTTGCCACGCCTTCCTTGAACCAAACGCCAGCACTGGTGAGTGCCGTTGGTATGAAGCATCGGGCACCAACATGCAAACCTGAAGCTAATCTCTTCTGGCCCTGGCAGCAGCTCGTCCCGGCAGATCGATACACCCCCATGGCATTTGCGTCGCCGCGCCTGCCGAGCACACCCGTGGCTGGTCTGACTGCTACGAGTCACGGTCGATCCGCTGCAGCCACGCACGCAGCTCCATCGACGAGACAAGCAGCAGTTCTAGACCTTTTTCGTGATCCGCAGCCAAACCAGGATTCAGGGGCTTTTGCCGATGCCGTCTTTGATTTGGGCAATAGCTTTGCTGGTGGAACGGAACAAAAGACCTTTGGTGAGGGTGGCTTTCTGCAGGACGGCACCCCTGCTGCGGGCGAAGGTTCGGCCTTGCGTTTGTTCTGACGTCGAAAGCTAATGGTGCTCAATGCTCTCGACGCTGGACGCACGCATCGTGCAAAGGCACCGAAGCACAAGTAAGGGAGTCAAGTGCAGATCAATTTGAAGCGTCAAATCGAAGGAAAAAAAAAAAAGGTCGTAGGATTGCAGGCTGCTTGTAACAGACAGGTGTGGTACTGAGTGGTCCCTTTTGCCAACCGCATTGAATCTAAGCAGTGGGTCAAGGACTGAGCTTTGGGAAAGCAAGCTGCTGCTTAGCGCAGCCCTGTGGCAAAAGCAACAAGAGTGCAAGCTCGCGTAGCCGGCCTGGTGCGAACAAAGGAGGGTTTGAAGCCTGGCATGTCGACCTGGAAAGCATTGCGGATGCCTGCCAAGAGCAATACTGTGGCATGCTGACTGGCAGAAGGGCATGGCTTGGGCCGCATCTAATCACCAGCCACATGCAGGCGATTGGTGCGGACAGCCTGCCATGGCAGGCGCGCGATGGTGTATGGGGCTCTCCGTCCCGGCAGCTTGTGTCGTCGGCGACTCGTCCAGATCATTGTACAGCTGCACTGCGATGTGGCTGTCTGGCTGTACAGCAGGTCCCGTCCGTACTGGCGTGGTGCTTGCACGTGTAGCAAAACGAATGCAGAGACTCTTGCAAAGTGTTTAAAGTGAGAGGGGAATGCCAGCGCTATTCTATTATCCATGGGCGTGTCCTAGGCGGTGGCGCTGTGGAGCATATGTGTACAAATGGTGGAGGCTAAGCGCTCATCTGAAACGCTTTCGCTCTGCAGGGCTGTTGGCACAAAGCGAGCTGCGATTTCTGCTGCCAAGAGATGCTTGCACTTGATTATTGATATGAGGCAGGCAGGCAGACGGCAGCGCGAATAAGAGTGTGCTCGAGAGATCAAAAGGTGGCGAGGAAGTCACAGCTGCGTACCCGAAGCGCTTGTCCCTTCAGTACCGTGTTCTCGTAGGCATAGCAGGTGCAGAAGCCGGCTTCGAGGAGCACCAGGTATGATTGCTGCGCTGAGCTCGTTACCTGAGTGCGGGAAATGTTGGTATCAACAGGCTGTCATGGTGAGGCAAATCAAATGCAGCAGGCCGGGCTTGAAGCGCGGTCATCGAAAATCAGATCTGCACACCTCAAACACTTGCCGACGTGGCGAGGACAGTCGCCGGATGCCCTTGCGATCGATCAAATCCAAGGCCGATACCAAAGTCTACGCGCCGGCCGTGGTGAGTGCCTACTCCAGCCAACAAATAGCTGTCAAGGCAGCACACACGTGGTTCTTGTTCGCGTACCTGTCCATGTAACCCAAGCAAGCCACCCAGGAGTTCGTTTGGCAGGCTATCGCCCTCAATTCGCGCCAGCATGTGCGCGTGCAGCTTCTCCTCCATCATGCTCTCGTCCACCTTGGAGCATGCAAAAATAAACGGTCACAAGCTGTTGCCTTGAGGTGTTTGATATTCATCTGACATCAGAATCATCATCGTGAATGATGTGTGTGTTTCTTCTTTGTGTCTTTCAGCGCGTCAATTTGGTCGAAAAGGAGGTCATGTCAGTTATATCGGGCTCGCTGCTGCAGGCACCGCTCCAGAGCCAGGTGCAGGCTAAACGAAAACAAGGAAAAAAGCGAGCAGGAATGTAGCCATCCACACTCAATGAACGAGAGGGGAGGGTGGCTCAACGAGGGCAAAGGGCATGCAGTCAAGCTATGTTTCCGCTTTGGCCGAGGCAGCAGTCTTTTTGCGCTTTTCTGCTGGGGCGGGCTCCTCGAGAGCGGCCACACTTTTGTAGCGCTTCGAAGCCTCAATGTAGGTGCCGTCGAGTAGCTCGGGTCGCTCTGCGATATATTTTAGGAGATCCTCGAGGAGATGCACGAGCGCCCGCATGCCTGCCACACCGACCTCTGTGTGCACCAGCAGAGCAGGAAGCTTGACCAACAAGCGCAATAAATGAACAGTGCCATAGGACAGGCATATGTCCATCTCACTCTGCTCTGAGGCCAAGGCTTGGAACTGGGACCGCTCATAGACATACAACAGCTGCTTGTCCAAGCACTGCCGGAAATACGTCTAACATTGGCCCACGCAAAAAAAGAGGAGCCGTGCGTGAGCATAATGCGGCCATAACAAATGGTTGCATTCAAGCATGTGTATGGAGTATCGGCGCAGGCAAGAGTAAACCAGGGTGGAAACCTTGTGAGGAAGGCGGAGGCCAAGGCTCGCGCAGGAAGATATTTACCTTGAGACCATCTGTTAGCTCGTTTAGAACAAATTTGGAGCGGCCGCGTGCCACGCCAGCTTCGACAAACTGGTCCAACACGGCGGTCACTGTAATTTGGGGAGGCAACTGCACGAGCTATACACAGGCAGCCAGGTCAAGTTCAGGGTGAAAGCGTGAGCCAGGTTGTGCAGCGCAAGCAAGCAGATCCCGGCACACACACATAATAACGAGCACACCTTCTTCCGCTTGACAACAGCCTGAAAGTCGGCTACGAGGGCCTTTTTAATCTCCAACGGGATGCTCAGTCGAACCTCGCGCTGAGCTAAAAACTCATCCATCTGTCACCGCCGCGCCAAGCAAGGACATGAGCAGACTACTCAACGTTTTGAACAAGTTCCTGACGGCACGCTGCCAATAGCGAGGGTATGGCAGCGGGCTTAAAGCAGCCTCGAGACCTACCGTCTCGACGTGGCGGGGTGTAGTCTTGGCTTGTTTGGCTGCGCTCAAGCAAGGGCAAAGCGAGCAGCATTTTGATGAGCGCCCGGCCACACGGCGGCGGGGGGTGGCTTGCGAGAGCAAAGCCACACGTGACAACGGAGCAAGACCGCAGGGTTAGCACAGAGACTACTCGTAGGGCTGACCCCTGAGTGAAGAGTAATGATCACACACCCTTGGGGTCACCACCGGCCGCACTGGCCGCAGTTGGCCGTTTCTTGGCCGCCTTCTTCTGCTGGAGCCTGCAAAACCAAGCACGACAGAACTTGAGCGCGCCAGCTGGATGCGTCAGGCTCAGGCCCGTCAACCGGCGATTCAAATACCAGCCGGTCGTGGCTGCATCAAACCTACTTGGGAGGTTTCTTTTGAGGAAGCAGTTTTCGATTCTCTGGGTCATCCTTGAGCAACCTTTGCTCGCTCACAAATTCATCGTTCCTGAAGCAGACAGACAGGAACCAGCAGGTCAGCCGTCTCGTTGGTTTCATATGAAAGAGGGGTGCGGACATGCGCGTGGCGAGGCAGAGGCCATATGTAGGCAGGTCGGTTTTGGCAACCCACTTCTTGCTCCACTTGTGGTAGTGAACCTTGTACGTCGGCACCTCGCCCGTGGCATCCTCGAGCGGACGGAGCACCCGCTTCAGAATCTACACCGAATGAGATGAGATGGTCAGAGGCATGTGCGGTGTGCCATACCGCCCAACTGGTGCGTCGATATACCTTGGCAACGTAGAGACTACCACGGTGGTGGCAGAGAACCGTTTCATTCTCTTCAAACTTGTACTTTCCAGCCGATGCAGCGGGCTGAGCGCTCGGCATCATCCTGCCGATCCCAACCCTCCCCCGCGCACAACAAAATAAGAGAGAGAGAGAGAGAGAGAGAGAGAGAGAGAGAGAGAGAGAGAGAGAGAGAGAGAGAGAGAGAGAGAGAGAGAGAGAGAGAGAGAGAGAGAGAGAGAGAGAGAGAGAGAGAGAGAGAGAGAGAGAGAGAGAGAGAGAGAGAGAGAGAGAGAGAGAGAGAGAGAGAGAGAGAGAGAGAGAGAGAGAGAGAGACATGTGCT